AGAGCTTTGTTAGCTCCGTGACACAGTAAAGACCGAAACCATGTCGACGACAAAGTCGACACCCAAAGCACAAGCCGACCGGCTTACGCTAATAGAGGAGGAAATGCTGTTCCTCAAAGAAGTCCCTTACACCCTCCGCTTCCTGGAAGCACGGGTGACCGAATTGAGTGATAAAGTCGTAGGAATCGACGCAATGGGCAACCGCCTGGATGGGTTGCCAATCGCAGAATTGATGTTTCGAGTGACCTCGCTCGAAGAAAGAGTTGCTCCTACGAGCAGCCCAAAACCATCTGGTAGTCCGGATAGCTCTGTCGCGCACAAGGAGGGACGTGGCGAAGAGTTCGACGTGCTACAAAATACAATGATGAGCTTGTTCAATGGACTAGCTGATGAGTTCAGAACAACAATCGATGACATTCAAGAAAGGATGGCCTCCATGGGCACTCGAATTGAAGTGACCATGAAAGCTGTGGAGAACGTCACGGCTGGACAAACAAATACAGGGTCCAGCAAACTAAGATTCCCAGATCCTAGAGCCTTTAAAGGGAATCGGGACGCCAAAGAGTTAGAAAACTTCATCTTTGATGTTGAACAGTACTTCAAAGCCACAACGGCTTGTACTGACGACAAGAAGGTGACCGTAGCCTCGATGTATCTCACAGACGACGCCAAACTGTGGTGGCGTACGAAGGTGCAAGACATCGAGGATGGATTGTGCACCATTGACTCGTGGGAGGACCTTAAGAAAGAGTTGAGGGACCAGTTCCTCCCCGAAAATGCAGGACATTTAGCAATGGAAAAGCTAGTAGCCCTGAAACACACTGGAGGCATACGAGACTATGTCAGACAGTTCTCAACCCTGATGCTCGATATCAGGGGCACATCAGAGAAGGACAAGGTGTTCTTCTTTATAAATGGGTTACAACCGTGGGCCAAAACAAAGCTACACGAGAACAAGGTCCAAACCCTAGCCGCCGCAATGGCCTGTGTCGAGAGACTCCTAGACTATGGGAACGAAGCGGGATCCCAAAGGAGAATAACACCAGCCCCAAACACTGGTGGCAAGCCATACAAACCACCAAGTCATCGAAATGGAAGCCCCAACAGGCCGAACGGAGGTAACGACAGACCAAGCGGATGGACGGATAGACCTCCACAGAATAACCAAGCAGGGACATCTCGAGAACCTTACCATCAAAGGAACCACCCGACGACGCCGTTACAATGCATGCTCTGTAAAGGTCCCCACAAGGTATCTTACTGTCCTCATCGGGTCTCTCTCACTGCGCTCCAAGTGTCCATTCAAGAGAGCAATGACGCAAGGGTTGAGACTATGCTTGACAAGAAGGAAGATCAAGACAATCCCCGAATGGGCGCACTTAAATTCTTGTCAGCTCTCCAACGAAAGGTCGAACCGAAGGAGATAGTAGAGAAAGGACTCATGTTCGTAGATGCGACAATAAATTTCCAACCGAATAGGAGCACTCTGATAGATTCAGGAGCGACCCACAACTTTATCGCTGATCAAGAAGCCCGAAGATTAGGACTCACTATAGGAAGGGACCCGGGAAAAATGAAAGCTATCAACTCTGAGGCCTTGCCTATTGTGGGAGTTTCCAAAAGAGTCCCCTTTAAAATAGGGGATTGGACAGGAGAGCTAGATCTTGTCGTAGCTCGCATGGACGACTTTGACGTGGTACTTGGGATGGAGTTCCTCCTAGAACACAAAGTTATCCCAATGCCGCTGGCAAAGTGCTTAGTGATCACCGACCGCAACCCCACAGTAATACCTGCAAGCATCAAGCAACCAGGTAATCTTCGAATGATCTCGGCCATACAATTGAAAAGGGGACTCGCACGAGAGGAACCTACATTTATCGCCATACCATTGATGGAAGTAACAACCACCGAAGAAACTGTCCCAAATGAAATCAATGAGGTACTAAACGACTATGCCGACATAATGCCAGAGAGCTTACCCCAAACATTACCACCTCGTCGAGGCATTGATCACGAAATCGAACTCATCCCCGGAGTTAAACCGCCAGCGAAGAACGCATACTGGATGGCTCCGCCCGAGCTAGCCGAATTAAGGAAACAACTGGATGAGTTGCTGAAGGCGGGATTCATCCGCCCGGCAAAGGCACCATATGGAGCCCCCGTACTGTTCCAGAAGAAGAAGGATGGGACGTTGCGTCTGTGTATAGACTACAGAGCCTTAAACAAGGTGACGGTACGCAACAAATATCCACTGCCGATA